TGCCTTTTAAGGTTTTGAATAAAGCCCAAAAATTTGAAAAGATTGCATGAATAATGAAGTTTTGCTTGTTTCTTCCAAAAGCGGGTGTTGTTAAGGTGCCCCATACATCTTCACTTCATGATTTCGCTACTTTAAAATTGCATAGTTCTATAAGCCATTTGTTGGCTGTTTTGAGTTACTAAAACTATGGGGCCAGAAACCAAATGTTTTCTCTGTTCCATCCAAATCGAAAAATTATTTGGAGTCATTATCAAAACATTAAAAGAATTACGTTAGGAAAAGCTTAACCATGTTGTGGAGCTAAAAAATGTGTACGTCAAATTTTTCAAAACTAGGCACTTGGCAGTTAGAACTTTGTAATTCTAAGGTAGTGATTTGTCGAATGAACGGAATGAGCGTCCTCAATTAGTTGGTATACTTTACCGCTTATGATACCTGCCAGAACAAAAAACAACATATAATTTTAATTTTTTTAAATATATTTGTATTATACACACTCCTTTAGATATATACCATATATATACACAAAAAAACGTGAACATTACTTCCTCACAAACTCGCCCTCCCTGACATTTCGTAAGTTCTGCGCACGACAAGGTAAAAAAAAATGCTTGGGTGCCCTCAAGACCTTTGGTGCCATGAGTAGAGGAATTCCGTCAATTTGGATCTATAGCGAATCAGAACTAAAGATTTCCTTTAAAATGACCTCTTCAGGTCGAACACGCACCATGCGCAGCCTTTTAAACGTCACCAGGGTACAGATTTCAGTAGTGGAGTCCTATGAGACGTCTGTGTGTAGACAATCTGCAGCTCCGACTTACCTACACCTCAACAGTCTGCATTCCCATGGCAGATCTTAACCTACGACTGTACCATGTTCATCTTCGCTGGGCCGAGATGACATGGATCAGAGCATGGCAATCGGTTCATGGTTCCTCGATTGTCTTGTGAGGCGGGATCATTTTGTCAATGACATTTGGTTTAGTGCAAAGCCCATTTTCACCCTGCGGGATATGTTAACTCCAAAATGCTGTTTATTGGGTACCCACTCCCTTATATTGTCTCTAGAATCCACTTCATAATGAAGATGTACAGTGTATGTGGCTTTAAACGCTCATGGTTTAGCAGGTCCTTGTGTTTGGGCGCAATTGGACATTTCGAACGACGCGTTAAAAATGTGTCGAGTCCAAAGGAGTGCTTGTAGAGTACTGCTTCTAGGAATTCCAGAATGAAATCGTTAGTTCTTTAAACTCTGTAAAAGATATTAAATATTATTTAAATGTTACAGGGATGGAAAATTAAATACCAAAGGGAAAATAAAGAAAAAAGTCAACAAATCTTTTCACAACTTCCTTTACAAGATTTTAAAAAATTGGTGAACTCTGCGTTTTGGGTGCTTTTTTCTTTAAGCCATTTCCCTTTTCAAAATAAGTTTCTTCTTCGTGGATTTAAGTCAAACAAATTCCTTTTGGATGAATTATGACTGATCCAAATTATAGCATTGTAGAACAATTTTTGTGCGAGATATTCAGAAAAAAAAGTTGTACTGATTTTTTTTTATCACCCTGTAAGTATGTGTGTGTGTGTGTGTGTGTGTGTGTG